GATGAAATTTGTTCTCATTTCTTTCAAAGATATGGAAAGTGTTTCGTTATTGATACCCTTTCTTGAAGTATGAATGAAGTAAATGTGAAGATCGAGGAAATTAACAAGTTTATTCGTTTGCCAATTTTGCGGGAGCTCGGCGACGAGAAACGGAGAGAAAAAAGAGAGAGAACGAGTTCAATATTGTGCGCGTACAATCTACACTATGTCGACCGCATCGACTCGATTATTTACGATTACCTGCAGGGTAATCACGGAAATCTCTATCTACATTCACGCAAAAAGCCACGCACCGGTTCGATAATTACGGGATACGATAGCGAGCGTGCCGAGTGAGTACACGCGAGCTCGTGATGCCGGCGTAAAAAAGCTCGGCGCAAGATTAACGATCCTCGTCTCCGAAAAACGGCACGAGACTATCCCAAAGGAATTATTCCCTCGCTACACGATCCTTCGCTTCCGCCTATCCCGTAGACTGATCCCGTCCCCAGCCAACGTCGAACGGAATTTTCATTATCAAACAGACTTTCGACTCCGTACGAGAGCGTTTATTGGCGGATAGAGTCGAGATAAACGGGAGGTGAGGATCGAGAAAAATCGGAAGTCTCGATTAAACGAATCGTACTCTGGTACCGTTATTTCACTTTGACAGACGTTATTAACGAGTAACCGACCTACGAGCGAGCACCGTAATGATCTTCCCCGCTGGATGAAGAAAGAGGAGTCGCTCTTCTTTTTCAACTCGTTCGACCGGAAAATAAAGAAGTCGGGCGGAGAACCGCGAGCACTCCGCCAATGGATCCTCTTATTTCTGCTCGTCGTCATCGTCTGCGTCGTCGTTCCTGTGAACACGACACGCGACCCTTTGAATGTCAACGCTTTTCAGCCTTCTCGCTTTCGTCCCACCGCTTCCGCTCGAGCTTCTTTCATCGCCGACCCCGAAAGTCGCGCCGATGGAATTTCGCGAGTCGAGCGCGATATCAAGCGATTTGCCCGATCGTTTTGCTCGTGTAACGAGCAACGTTTCGACGGAGGGGGTG